CCATTATCCACTTGGGGCTGTACTTCATTTCATTCTTCTGAGGAGATGATATATTGGGACCTTGAAAATTGAAATTCGGCATCTAGCGTCACCTTTCCAATGTCGCCAACTAGCGTTACATGACGCTAGAAGTAGATGACGCTATCTAGCGTCATATAACGCTATTTGCATAGAATTTGTGGCCTTTTTGTGGGCGTCATCCAACGCTAAATAGGTAGCGCTATATGTCGCCGCGACATCTAGCGCTATCTAGCGCTATCTAGTACTAGATGTCGACATCTGACGACATCTGACGCGGCGACATCTAGCGCTAGATAACGCTATCTAGTATTTAGCGCTACATGTCGGTTCGCGACAGTTCACGCTATCTAGCGCTATATAGCCTTAGATCAAGATGGCGACATTGGAAAGGTGCCGCGCAATTGGCGGCAATGTCGCTAATTAGCGCTATTTAGCGTCATCTAGCGTCATCTATCATCATGTCATCAGGCGACATCTCAAGCTAGATGACGCTAGATGACGCTATATGAGTATGACGCTAGATGTCGAATTTAAACTATCGGTAGAGGTCCAAATAAGCTGGAGGTGCTGAATTTACTGTTGAACCTGATTTACCAAAAAATTCAGCTGTCATTAAAAAAGAAAAATGCAAATGGTAATTTATCACCACAACATCAACAATTCGCACCCAGTCCACTCTGTGTTGCTTCCTAAAGAAAATTAGGGTTCTACTTCTAATTACCTGGACATATTCTAAAAACAAATTATATCTCAACTGGGTAATCAGAGCCAAATTGCATTGTAAGCAATTACAAATTAATAAAATCATTATTATGCAACTACAGGAGAGGTTGACTTGAGGAGTTTATAATGGCCAAAACCTTGATTACGTATGTGAACGATCCCTGAGACTAGTCTAAAATCAAAAGTTGTTTATTTTCTGGCTTTAGCTATTTCATCCCAAAATTAAAAATAAAATGGAACGTTTGAGCTAGCCTCGTATCACGTGGTGACCCCCACCGTGGTGACCCCCACCGTGGTGACCCCCACGGTCGCTTCACTGTAGCGTCTTCGACGCTACAGGGGGAGCCGCGCACTTCGTGCGCGGCGGGTCATACAACGTATGACAAAGCTAGCCCAAGTGACTGACGGAATGTTGACAACCCTTATTATCATTTTATACGTGAGCGTATCCGATTTATTCCACTTAACGGTTTGGAGACTTTATTTGTTTCATGATATTGATATGACATTCTAGGGGTGTGACAACTCCTCTTGGACAGACTGTCGTGGTGAAATTCTTTTGAAAACGAGTCGTCCTCGCTGCTCAACCGGTTTTAATTTAATTGACAGACATTACCAGATGGGGCAATCCGGTATTCTAGCTATCTGTCGGTGGACCCATTTTAGCTCAAGGGACACCTGAAAGCTTATAAGAAGATTAAGCGCGGACATCATACAGGGGTTGCTTATAAACGCACGGATACGTAAAGTACGATTATAAAGCCACTTTTAAGGCACAGTTACTGTTAGGGCACGGTTAAGGGACATTTAATTAAGCTCGGTTAAAGGACATTGGAATAATATCAAAAAGAACATGCCCAGAAACCACTGTGCTCAACTTGATCGTAGAGTATGTCCTAGAAATAAACCAAAGGCGCTCTCACCTAGGGTATGATCCATGGCTTTTCTAATGGCCTTTGTTTTAATTCTTGGTCGGTGGGGAGTTAGCAACGGGTTTGCTTGCCACAATAAAGCAGGAACCCTCTTCATGCAATGCCCATGAATAATGCATTGTTATGTCATTGGTCTGGGTAGCTGCTTCGACTCCATTCTTTATTTCACAGTAAGATAATCTCACACTGGCGGGTCTTTACCATTCGCTGCGACATATTACAAGCTACCATGAACATAGTGTTCACTAAAAACACTGACTAAAGGACCTTGGCAAAGAGCCAGTAGTAGTAAACCCGCGATGGGGTGGCATGTGCCTCAATAAAAATATTACAATCATTTATTATTATATCAATGTATCATTAAATATTTCAAAAATATCAATAACGTATGGTTGATCCTTCACACTTGTAAAATATATAAAAATAAAGTTAATCTACACTAAAGAATAAATAATCTATATTATATAAATCAACAATATTAACTCCCCATCTTCATGTAGTCATTTATCAAAGCGGTAGAAATCCAAGTAATTTTAGTACGCGGTGCGCAAGGAATTTCGTTTTTTTAAATGTGTAGGCAAGATAAGCCTAAGTGTGGCAGTGAAAATTGAAAAATAAGTTGCAGAATAAATTGCAGTGACTGACTGTCAAATGCATTATCGCAGTTCATTTATTTGACTGCACAGTGCACTAACGTTTAGGATTCTTACAGCTATTATATTTTGCTAAAATTTTGTTTAAAAGTTGTAAAGGACAAAGTTCTTGTCCGTCCATGATCGCCTGGATCCAGTTTCTTTTAACTCATACTTATATTCTTATAATGTAGAAATCTGGGGTGTCAGCAGGAAGCTTGCCGGCAAGACCGTTTAGGATATGGTTACATCATCTTAGCGTATCATGTACTGTCTTACTGAGTACTCTTATTCTTCTTCGTTGGGGTTGTGGCTGGTCAAGGTATTTACTAAAAGATAACCGAGGAGTGATTATATTTGTCCTAGTATACTAATAAACTAATATAGTAATCGGCTACACACATATCTACGCATATGTAGGGACACACACACTAAAATTAATGGAAATAATTACCGGACTTCATTATTCACGGACCTTAATGCCACAGACATTATTTTCACGGACATAAGTAATGTCCGTGATAATTATGACCGATAAGGTAAGTAATGTCCGTGATAATTATGACCGATAAGGTAAGTAATGTCCGTGATAATTATGACCGATAAGGTAAGTAGTGTCACTCACATTACACAGAAAAGTTATTACTGAATAAGATTTAAGTAAAAAAGGAACTCTGCTGTTAAAAATGCTATACAAAGTTAAATGACTTAATCGCACAATCTCGATTACACAGGCCTCTGTGTCCCTCTCTGTAATGTGTTGGAGAGCCCCTGTTTTAACTAATGTGAGCATTGAGCAAACTTATTTACCTTCCTGAATGTAGGATTTATTCACAAATCACTATATAATGGAGGGCGGAGGCAACCCGTGCTTCGGATCTGTCTAGTATTCAGATGAACTCTCTTCTTACACAATACACGCGAAGTAAACCTCATGCTACTAAATCAGAGTTTAGAAAACACGAACAATCCTATTTAACTGTGCACTAGCATAATCGCCCAGCCTTTATCATTCAAACGCGTTCAAAGAGCTATTTAACTATTTAAGTATTTATAATCGAAATGCATTTAGGAGCAGGCAGCCACATTTAGGGCTACTATACTTGTTCCCCTCTAATACTCACATTAAGAGTGAAAAGGCAGTTGAAGCTGTTTATACATGATGTGGGTAATCTTACATCTATCCACATCTTATAAATATAAATGTGGATTCTGGTGAAGAGGTGAGGCATATTCTTTGACAGGTGACAGCGATTAACCAATCTGCATCCACTATTGACCAATCAAACCACACAATCATTGTTATGTGTCAAAAAATATATGACTCACCTCTACTAGAATTCTCACATTACATAGCACTATATAAGTATAATATACCAACAGCATTTACCTGAATTATTCTGAATTATTCGTATTCTTTTTCTCATGCATATTTAGACCTCTAGTATGAAGTTAGATTTGACGTCGAAAGAAACTAATTTCATATCAGTTGGAAAATTGACAAACATAAAAAACAAGTATTTTTACAGTTTTACGCATTATAATTTACATAAGCTAATCTAACTGCGTATAATGCAATTATATTAGCAATGTTTTGAGAGCACTGAGCAACTCAAAGAACAGCGCACTTGCACTTCAACCCTCCACTTCAGCCCGAAATCTCTCCGAGAAACGAAGTGACGTCATCCGCCGACTCTCTCTCGGTTGATTTGAACAATCTAGTAACTCCACAAAATGTCTGATAACCACCTCAACAGAAGGTCAAATACAGATAAGAAAAGTAAACATAGGATAACCGTCTGATGCTCATTGCTCCTGTTAGTGTTATGTGATTGGTAGGATCTGAGTCACGTGACATAAGTCATAAATCATCGATCGCTATTGGCCGCTAGGATGGGATGGACCAAGAATCGGCCCGTCCCTATTATCTGCAGTTGTGATGATTGTTTGAACGTTTTGCTTGCCTGCAGTGGATTTTCAGACCACCCAAGTTTCGCCCGTTAAATCACCTCTGAAAGCTATTAATATATCACAGTATCTTTCAGAAAATCAGTGCGATTAGTTTTGTAATCGCACCGAATATGTTTTCAGTTGCTCTCAAAACAGTGCAATTAGTTTTGTAATCGCACTCCCTAGAAAAAAAACGGTGCAATTATGAAAATAATAAGTGGCCGTCAAATGGGTCATAAGTGGAGTTATAACTTTATAAAAGTAAAAAATATGTGTCACCTCTTCAACCTGCTGAATAGAGGCGCCACCTAAAACATAAACAAATATGTATCACCTCCCCGACCATGAGTATCCACATCATTCATGACAGTATTAAACCAAATTGAGGTACTGGGAGTCAAAATCCCGAATGAAATTGCAAAATCACATTGTCCTAATCTTTGTCCCATTTTCAGTTTTTGGAAACAAAACTTCCAGGACCAAAATTTTACAGTTTTTACTGAATTTCTCACCCGCAACCAATTAGAAAGTCAACTATACCCCGGCCCTTGTGCATTAATAGGTTAATTAGTGAGAAGTAGATGCCAAGTTTTATAATTTGAGGATGTTTTATTCATTCCATTTAACCTTTAAACCTCAACTATGCATTAGCGGTCCTTTAAAACGTAAATACAAACACTGTCACTGTAAAGCATTTTGACGATGTTTTATTGTATGTGGTGGACGAAATTAAAGAAACAAATTTGCCAAACATATTATATGAAATAATGTTACAAATATGAGTGAGATAACAGTGGGTTGCCGGAGAGAATTTATTTAAGTTTCACTGCTAGTACTATACATACTGTTTTAATTTAATGTTAAATTGTTCGAAATACCAGAAAAATAACACACGAATTAACTAAGCATTCAATTGCAGGGTATCAAATACAAATAAGAGCATGAATAACTTATAAAACTTCGTCGTGAATTTATCAAATCATAACATCGTCTTTTCATCAAAATCAGCAAACTTATTAAGAGGGACAAAAAATTTAATAATCTACAAAAAAAAGACGGACATTAGTAACAGCGTAACATTCAGCCGTTCCCTGGATCAATTTGAGGCAGGAGTCGCGGAGTTTTTATCTCTCAGATATCTCCGTTAATCTCACTGATAGTTGGAAAGATCGTACTCGTAGGTTTCCGGAATAAAGGTGGGATAATCAGTAGAGTAGAGCTGATCCCTCACAAACTGTTCCAGGTTATCTGGTTTGGGGTACACGGTTGCCAGGTTAAGCTCATATGCTCTTTCTATAACAGACACTGCTATCTTGACGCTGATCTCTTGGATGTCGGAGAGTCGAGGGTACACTCTACCAACTGCCAGATCTTTGTCCGATACCAGGTAGGACAGTGCCTGAGGTTGGTGTCAGTTAGAATACTTTACAGTCACAATTGATAGACGGATTATTTCAAGTGTTAATAAATTTTCATAATAAGCAATACAAATAAATAGGTAAGTTATATTTACCTCAGCTGACTGAAGGAAGAGTTCGTCCGGAATATTGATAGACCCACAACACATAACTCCTAGAGCTACCGCCGGGAAAATATAGGCATTGTTCCCCTGGGATAGTGAGTTGATTAACATTTAATTATTTCTTGCCTCATATCTTGTAGTCTCTTTGTAATCAGATGTAAGTGGTGAAGTAATAGTCTGTGCCTAAGGTGTTGCTTTTGACCAACAATTTAATATTTATTTTAAGAACTTTGAGAAAACCCCGGTGCTGTAATCAGTTAAATTCAATACCTGGCCGGGCTCGAATATGTGACCATCTTGTTCGTATCGGGGGAATGGAGAGCCGCTAGCGAACACTGCTTTGTTGTTCGACCATTTGTAGGCCTCTTCAGCAGTACACTCAGCTTGACTAGTCGGGTTACTGAGCGCAAATATTATCTGAAATGAGGGATTGTCAAATTTAACAGTAACGATGGTTATGTACGATAAAAACAACATGAGAACTCAAAAACTTTTATAAAACACACGTTTGCCGAGTAAGCAAATAATATGCTTCACTTACTGGTCGTTCATTATTGCGGGTCATTTCCTCGATAATCTCCTTGGTAAACGTTTTGGGTTGAGCGGCAGCACCAATGAGAGCGGTCGGTTTTACGTTTTTGATAACTTCCTCTAAATTTCTACATTCTGGCATGTCCTGTAACGGTTTTAATAAAAGCTTGTGACAACAAGTACTACGTAGTTGGGCATTCTGATAATATCCAGTTCAAATTTAGGGATAATTACGTGTATAATTTTTGGTATAGTATCTACTATGAACTATCTAATATTTTAGCTACCTTAGCGAAAGGAAGTTTGTGCTTAGTGAGGTTTGTTCTACTTTTTACGAGGAGTCCACGCGAATCTAACATGAAGATTTTCTTGTAGGCTTCTGCTTTTGGGACTCCTTCTTTTTCCATCTTCAAGCAGATAAGCTCTGCAATTCCAAGATTAGCCTGAAATATTATGATTAAAGGTAGTTTGCGACAATGGGCCAATCCGCAGAGTTTAAACATGATATCTCAAATTGAGAATTCAGCTCAACACGCAAAAAAAGGTCTACCGCGCACGAAACGCGCACAAAATAAATCACAAAAACGTCACCGCGCCCGCTCCGGAGTTCGATTTAGTCACATGACCTTGCATGCCGCAGCAATCTTGTTATAAATAACAGTAAGGCGTATGATGTTTTGTGATGATTCAGCGGACAAAGTTATAAACAACAGAGAGCAGCCTAATCATCAAATACGCGATGCCAATCAGGACTTTACTAGGTGGATTACAAGATACTAAAATAGGATCCATGTTTCATATATTATAGGATATGTCAAACAACCAGACAGATGCAGAAGTTCAGTGACCTTGAAGTCACATGGTTTTCTTATAACAAACCTTGTCAACTTTTTCGTGAAGATTTCAAATTTAAAAAGACTGGGTGTCTCTCTCCCGAACCCGCAAAATCCTTTCGATAATATTATATCCATATAGACGTAACTTATGGAAGTAACAAATTAAATTATCACAAATAGGCAATAATATTAAATTATAGGAACTCACCTCACCAGCCCCAAGGAACACGAAGGTGTGATCACTTATCTTATTGTTCGTTATCCTAAGACTGCCTAGAATTCCAGCTAGAGCAACTGACGCAGTACCTAAGACGATTGAAATTTAAATAATTTGCTTACCATCCATGATATTAATTAATATGTCTACAATGGTTAAAACTGCTGTTCAATGAGCTAAAGTAAGTAAGGATAATTTCGAGTGACAAACCTTGAATATCATCGTTGAAACAACATGTGTTATCCAGATATTTGCTAAGCAGTCTGAACGCATGTTGATTTCCAAAGTCCTCGAAATGCATCAGCACTGAGGATCCATACCGAGCTTTGCAAGCGGAAATGAACTCATCAATGAACTCATCGTAAGCATCACCAGTGACACGCTTGTGGCGGAGCCCAATGTACATGGGATCCTCCAATAGTGCCTGTATATTTGAGCATTACATTTAGCTGAAGGAAACATCTTACATTTTACTAACAATCATGAAAAGCAAACACAATATAATAACACCAGTATTAAAGATAAAACTATAACATTCTCCACATACCTGATTGTTAGTGCCCACGTCCAGTGTAACAGGAAGACAGTACTGGGGGTTAATAGCCGCACAGCCCGTGTACAATGCCATCTTACCCACAGGTATACCCATACCCTGACATCCCTGATCTCCTAATCCCAGGATACGCTCTCCGTCTGTGAAACACACTGCTTTCACCTAATTTATACGGCACAGGTTAGTGCAATTAAATTGACGCTAATCATGGTACATTACACTGTACATTACACTGTACATTGCACTGGATTTATGTAGGTATTCTTGATAAGTGCAAGATTAGAGGGATTAGGTATAGTGGTCTAATACTGCTCATAAAATGTACAGCTCTTTTATTTTGAAGTGTCAACACTACAGTTTTCAGTGTACACAAAATCCAACAGATTTAGAAAAGCATAAATTTTAAAACAATGCATGCTGCGTACAAGCATCAGTTCTCCGAATATTCGAACAGTTTTGTCACTTTAAATCGGCCCCTGTGATAAGCACGGAGGAACAGATGAACTAAAACACATAAAACGGTATGTATGTCAGGAGCTAATCTTAAGGGGGGGGGGGGGGGGGGGGGGGGGGGGGGGGGTTCACCCTGATTTTTTTGTGAAACTTGGTTTCGAGATAGCAGTTGACCAACCAACTAGGACCAGTGACCGAACTTTTGAGGGGGTCCCGGACCCCAACCGCCAAACAGTGCCCGCGGGGCAGCCACGACCATATTTGGTCCAAATAAGGCCCAAATTAGCCAAATACCCTGAACATGCCCAAAATCCAGATTTTAGGTGCTTTACTTGTAGCTAGTGGTCCCCTGAACTCGTATTTGAATTTTCATCAAGATTGGACAAAAAATGACTGAGTTATGAGCAAAAAACCATATGACCATATTTGGGCATACGCACCAAATTTGATCGATTTTGGCCCATAAATTGGTCAAATATCAATATTTTTGAATGAAACCAACTTTATATGGAAGGTAAGCCTATACTACACATTATCTATGATTATCAGCTCAGTATTTACCTAACTGTGGATTCTGTGTTCAAATAATCGCAAAAAATGAACAAAATTGCCCATATCTCAGTTCGCGATATTTGCAAAACTGATTTCGCTCAAAACAATAGAACTCAATAGGGTTTCAATATTTTTACATGAAATTTTCAGAATCAACGTAGAATCGCATTTCGACCTTAAGTTTTGGGACAGAATTTTGAGTTAGGCCTTTAAAAAAATTTGGCGGCCAAATTCTGAATTTCGCATTGCAAATTTTGGAATTTGGCCGCCAAATTTTTTAAATCTGGATTTTGGGCATGTTCAGGGTATTTGGCTAAATTGGGCCTAATTTGGACCAAATATGGGCGTGGCTGCCCCCCAGGCACCGTTTGGCGGTTGGGGTCCGGGACCCCCTCAAAAGTTCGGTCACTGGTCCTAGTTTGTTGGTCAACTGATATCTCGAAACCAAGTTTCACAAAAAAATCAGGGTGAACCCCCCCCCCCCCCTTAAGAAACAGCACTGCAGCACTATACAGTATACACTAAAAATAGAAAAACCTACATTTTTGACGGGCCAGTTTTTGAGGATGTCGTAGATGTGGCCCTTGTCGTGGATGGTGATGAAAAGGCCCCGAGGTCGTCTGAACAAAACGCCGTATTTCTGACAGGCTAACCCAACAGTTGGTGTGTAGATAATAGGCATTAGTTCCTCCAGGTGATCTTTTAACAGTCGGAAGAATAGACGCTCGTTTCTGTCCTGAGAAATAGCGAGGGGTAATGTAAAGTAAAAGGGTGATGTTGGAACTCAAATACAAGTTCATTAGTAATAAGGGAAATAGTTCATTAATCATAAGTATTTTATGGTAATATTGGTGATTAAAAGAGCGGTTTTAGTAAGGAATAGTTAATATTTTATAAGCCAGTTCGCGGGTAAATGTGTGGCAAATAAATGTACAGCAGTTTCCTGGTAAAAATGCAGCTTGCAAAATACACTTTGCCGCAAGCCTTGCTCGGAATGTAAATTCTTTAGAAATATTGCGATACACACACTGTTATACATTAACACTTTACATTTGCAAATACGCAGAGAGAAGCACTATTAGTATTTCTATATCTACATGTTTACAACAGTAGTCTGGTATACAACATTGTAATGCTAATACTATGAACTATCTAGGAACTAAGGAGTATTAAGTTGATTAGCTGTGAAATAGAGGGCTGAATGTGGGGGCACAATAGTTCAGAGTGAACTCTCTCTGAAACTCAATAATCCACACCTGGTGTTCACCCTAACAAAGCAGTGCTTTATAGTTGTGTATATATATAATATATACCATGTACAGTGTAATTTGTCTACTACAAACCGTCTCTTATAGTAAGATACAAGGACATATTATAATATAAAATTCTTGGAGAAAAATAAAATTGCTCCGTAAATCACAATATCTACGACGTACATTAATTACCCCATGAGCCCCCCCCCCCCCCCCCCCCCCCCCCCCCCCCCCCCCCCCCCCCCCCCCCCCCCCCATAGTGCCCAGTAAAACGGATGTACTACAATTTAGCTTATATAACCTGCAGAGAGCAAAGGTAGATGTATTTCTCCAGAGCGTTAGGTTTAGCAGCCAGATGGATCATGCACCTCTCAACCTGAGCATCTTGAGTTGTGAAGTTAGGGGGAAGTAGTCCGTGTATTCCTAGGGATTGTCGCTCCTTCAGTGTAGTCGCCATACCCTGTAGGAGAGAGAGAGATTGGTTAACTGTGCACAGAGTTAATTAGTTCTTAGGGTGGGGAGGTGGTTTACGTAATCTAGAATTGAGAAATTGAAATATAATCAGATGTGTAATAATAAAAGTTTATATATTACAATATTTTGCAGTTTGCACACCATGTTGAGCTTTACAAGTTAAATCAAAAATACTGTTTATTGTATCGAGACGTATTCCTATAACACTGAACAGTAGAACAGTAGAACAAGACAGTACCTTGTTGAGACTGGGGTCCCTGATGATGTCCATGCCATGTTTCTCAGGAACAGACAGAGGTCCTGGTGTCGCCTCCCCACTACTATTGGAACTGAATCCGCTCAGCTGCACTCTGGGTCTCAACATCCCGCTAACTGCAACTCCTACAGGACAAACAGTAGTAAGTTGGAAAGTTAACAAATAGAGACGGTTATCTTTCTGAAATCATCATTCCCTAATCCCTATTATAGAGTATAGGCTATATAATATACATCCTGTATATTATATAAAATATATATCCTGTATATATGTACTACCTATAGTACTGGTTTGCCAAATTTAGCGCCCGTACCGTATACAATGTGCAAAGTTAGTAACTATACAGTATACACTGAACACATACTGTACAGCAACTGATATTGCTTGATAGTTGATACGTGTTGATAGAAAAAATTAAATAACTCAAAGTATTGACACAAAAATGTGTGTAATATTGAGCGTGAATATAACGGTAATTTAAAAGTTGTGCAGCGAAAGCTAGTGCAGTAAGCGCTAATTCTATAGATATTCTACTCTGTTCTATGATATGCACTGCACGCGAGACAAACTAAACTAGTCACAGTAATTATACAGTTCTGCAGCGAGTTGCGGAGTCGTTATACCAAACTATAATACGGCTTTTAAATCTTTGTAAAGAAAGTTCTGTTAAATCTTTGTAAAGATCTGTTAAGTCTGTGTAGATATCTGATACAAGCAGCGGTTAATCGCCACACGTACAAAGTATATAACTGAGGAGTAGTGAGCATTGTGTTTGTTAAGTGATCTTAGAGGGAGAGTATTTAATTGGTGAACTAGCTCAGAGCAACAACCAATCAACGAGCAGGTATTACTTGTAACCAGAGCAACAACCAATCAACGAGCAGGTATTACTTGTAACCAGAGCAACAACCAATCAACGAGCAGGTATTACTTGTAACCAGAGCAACAACCAATCAACGATTGGTTGTTGTATATTGTATAACTTGTAAAATTGACCTCCGAGAAAGCAAGGCTGAGTAAAGTGAGACTTGTAACAGTTCCACTGTTTATTTCATAAATATAGATATTTGTTATAAAGTTATAATTATGTTATTATGCTTATATATGGTTTTATGTAAGTTTATAATATTATAATAGTTCTGTTGCAAGGCTTCAAGACGTTCTGAACCATGTTCTTAGATGAGTCATGTATTAAAAGGTTTCTCAACAAAGTAATATCGGCAAAATATATCACGTAATAACAAACTGACTATGTTATGCAATAAAATGTAAATAAGCACAGGGTAAGACTGATCATATCAAATATTCAAAATGAGGACTATCAGTAGAATAAACATATTATAATAGGTAACAAGAGCAGTGAACCGTACATCACCTAGAAGTCCGGCGTTATGTATTATAATGATCCTGGACCTAAGTGGCGAGTAGCTTTATATCAACAAACAAAAAAAGGAAGAAAAAAAAGTGTACCTTACTTAACCAGTAAACAAATACTCAATATGAGCTAATGGGAGGATTACACATTCCGCAAAGAAGGGTTTACACTATAATATATAAGATACCGGATATCAGTGGGATCAAGCTGGCAGTGTGTAAGGTTAGAAAGTTAAGAAAAGGAAATTCCTGAGACGAGATGGTACGTGACATCACCAGGGAGAGAGGAGTATTGGTAATTAGAGAGGAGGAAATAAGCCAACAAATACAACCACACTCACAGTAAATGCAATCTAATACACCACTGTAATGAAACCAGTGTAAGCAAGCTCATGATACCAGTGGTGTGTAGGTACATAATGTGCTGTGTAATTATCGTTAGAGAGAGAGCGCTGCTTGTTGAGGAGTGTACACTGCCTTTAGCTCCGAGTATATGCCACTACGATTACAGTATTAGAGAGTATACTAGAGGTAAATTTAGAGTATATTAGAGGAGCAATGACTGCTACTTTTACCAGTAATAGGAATGTTCATTAATTTGAGCTTAGTCAATTTAAATAAGGGACGATTAAAGTCACCTTCCGAAAAAGGAGCAAAACATCTTACTGATATTATAGAGCTACAGCGAACAAAAGATCAAACAAATAATTCTGTAGAAATCTGAGTAGATGTGAACTGTAATTGTAATTTGATACGGTAACCAAATTAAGTTAGCTAACTGCTCTGACATTGTTCCTAACTCAGTAGAATCTTTGTAAGATTAGAATTATGGAATCAAGCGTAACAATTTGAAGATTCTGAACTAAGTTCTACGCATGAAAGATCATGCCACCATGCAACATCGTGTTCTACCCTCCTCGATATTACTTTATTATTTATCATTATTCTGGCAGACTGGAATCATGTGTTTAAACTCTAAAGCTAGAGCGATGAAGAGGAACTACGATGTTCACAAATTAGAACAAATTTATAAATTCAACGCATAAATAATAAATATCTTATTTAAAGTAAACTTGAGGAGGAGGCCAGATAAGATAAGAGCTCAAAAATAAAGAAAATAGGTATTATACCACTATGATAAATTACCATTATCATTAGATTATGGCTACAGGGAATGGCAGTAGAAGAGGCAATGCTTCTCTGTAGCCTTAAATCGATAAAAATGGTGGCCAAGTCTGCCGTCTCGTGTCTCTATTTCAACAGTAAATGTGTTATTCAAGTAGTATCGTAACACCGCACTGGTAAAGGTGGCGATAACGAACAGCTGTTTCTTAATCGGCGGCTAATGAGTAAGGAGAGGTTTATTTCTAGTGACACGTGACAGCTCGGCTAGTCGTATTCTAGCCAATAGGAAAGGGTAATGACCGTAACCTTCGGCTGCGAACTAACCAGCGTAATAAATACAATGATAGAAACATCATCGAGGAGTAATAAGATATCTTAGCTCAGATTAGTAGGACCCACAAAAGATCAGATATGATATTGAAGTGAAGGTAACCTAGCAACAGGTGTTGGAAAATACAAATGCGGGGCTAGATGGTAAATTAGAAAACTGAATATAGCAGTACAGTAACAGTTCCTCCAATATGAGGAAGGTAAAGTATGGGTGTTCTTGTAACAATATTATTGTTTAAATATATATATATATATATTATATATGTATATACATTACTATAACTCTAACTTAACGGAGAATTCCCATAATTTGTAGGATTTCATTTGTACTAATCATATTATACAAAGGAAGCTTGAAATTGGTTTTTATAAAAGTGCAGTAATCAGTAATAAACAGTAAGATTCATTTTTTAATGATGAGACTGTTCGAAATGAAATCAGAACTCTAATGTCAATGCAGATTTATATAAAATAATAAGTTATAGGACGTATAAAACTACTACTAAGAGTCTGAATACTAATATTCACAGGAGCATGTAGAGTGTAGAGCCTTATTGACAAAGCTTTACAAAGTCCTGTCAAATTCAAATATTTGGTATAATATCAAACAATTAAATGCTACTAGACTTGACATGGGCTTGTTAGAGCTCTCATCCGGCCCACAAAACAGTTAGCTGTCAGGTTAGTAAGGTACCTGGTACAGAGATATATACCAAATATAACAGTAAGATAGTAAACTCTGGAGACTGCAGAGTAAGACTGTATTACCAATACTCTATCACGAGAAATCATCTGCTGCTGCGCAGGAGAGAATTTGTGAGAAGTACAAGCGTGGAAAGTGTCCTCATGGTCTCAAGGGGAAGAAGAAACATAATGGTCAGATTTGTGAGTTTGAACACCCGAAGTATTGTAACAGATTCTGTCAATACGGAAATCAGCACAAGTTTGGTTGCAGTAAAGGTCCAGACTGCAAGTTTCTTCACCCTGTGTTGTGCAAGTTTTCAGTTAAGAATAAACTTTGCACGAAGTCTGACTGCACTTTTATTCATTTGAAGGGTACCCGCCGTCAGACAAGCAACTCTGCTGTTGGACACAAGAAGGGAAAAGCAGAGAATAAGAAATCCATGCCATCAAAAGGTGTAACGACGGCGAACCAGGATTTTTTAGAGTTACGGAGACTGTTGGAAACGATGCAAACCAGGATCGGACTCCTATCAGAAATAGTCGACCACCGGTCCAGCCTCCCTCAAACTCAAATGCCCTACCACTACCCCGGACCACCTCCACCTCTTCAGCCAGGAACAGCGCTCCCACTATACCACTACCAGTACCCGCAGTTCCTACCGCCTCAGAGGACACACGTGCCCCTTATTCCTCATGCCTCGTCTTAAATGTCCAGTCCATGAATCCTAGTGCATCAAGTACGAGTAGATGGAAAGTGCCAGAAATCTCAGCTCTTATTCAAGATGAGAAATCCAGAAACCACTCGTTACCGTTTATAGCACTTACGGAAACGTGGCTCAAGTCCTATATGTCAGACGCACAACTGCAAATACCAGGCTATTCGGTATCTCGCAGCGACCGTGATGCAAGGGTGGGAGGGGGTGTTCTACTCTATTCTCATGTCAACTTACCGGTCAGTGAGTGTAACACGTTTGATGACGGCACGTGTGAGGGACTTTTCTGTAGTTTCAGCACTATAAAGACATGTGTTGCTGTGGCTTATCGTCCGCCTAATGCATCCTTGTCAAGCTTTAAAGCACTCCTCAGTTTTTTCTCCGTATGTATCAGTAGTATTAATGACGACAGCTACGATATCATGATGACTGGAGACTTTAACTTACCCTCAATTGACTGGCAGACGAATTGTGTTCAATCTGGAGGCACGCAAGAAATTCAGCAGTCAGCACAGCATTTTTTAACTTTCATGTCTGATCATCTGCTGAGTCAGTACGTAATGTGTCCAACGAGAGGAAACAATGTTTTGGACCTGTTTATTAGTTAACAACAACCGAGTTGTTACAAATGTTGAATGCAAAACCACAACAATGTCAGACCATCACGTGGTAGATGTTATGCTAGCATATAATCCACTTGAACAGGAGAAATCAGCAGTGCCGAAGTTTGATGAAAACTCGTACAGATGCCTTGATTTTCTCCAAGCAGACTTCAGCTCGCTCAGAGACGAGATAGAAGACACTAACTGGTCTCAACTTCGTTCTTCATGCTCTTTTGAAGACTTCCCAGCCTTGTTTACTGACACCCTCTTTCAGATATGTTCGTCTCATGTTCCCCG